ACCTGCGGGGCCTGACATGTGCTAGCAATGACAGCAGGTCCCTTTTTCTAGGTTGGGACAGACGAGTTGTCATGGTCACTGAGTTCAGATACACGCCTAGATAAGTGATGAGTTGGGCCGGAACGAGAGAACTCTTTTCCCAGTTTATGGAGAAGCCCAGCATTCTCAGGTGTGCCGACAGCTTCTCCATTTGTGATACTGCTTCCTGTCTGGATGGAGCCAGCAGGAGCAAATCGTCCAGATAAAACAGGATTCTCATTCCCGCTGAGCACAGAGGCTGCAGCGCCGTCTCCACGCACTTTGTGCCAGTACGTAACCAAAAGGAAATCAGTTGTACTCGTACCGAGTCTCCTGAAAAGAAAACCGCATAAATTTTCTGTATGCTGGGATGATCGGGACATGAAAATACGCGCCCGGGCCGGGCCTTGGCTATCTGCTCCTCTCCACCTCAGAATGATTGGGTCTACCTCCTGGGTTCGGGTGTGTGCGGCCTCCAATAGGGGGTGGGTACATGTCCTGGACCTGGGGGGTATAGAGTGTGTATCAGGGGTATGAGTGGAATGTGGTGTCCTTGTATGTCTTTGACTGAGTGGGGGTGAGGATGAGGGTGGGATGGTGCGATTGTGTATGTTTGGGTATTTGTCAGGCTGCGGTCTGGGCTGCCCCTACTGCTGGTTTATCTGGGGGCCCGCTGCTGCCACCCCCCCCCCCCTCGGTGGGGTGTGCGGCTGGCCGCCGGCGTGCTGGGGGTTCCCGGGGTCTGGGGCTGGGCACTGGGGTGTGTGCCGGCCTGGCCTGGTGACTGCCTGTTGGGGCACGGGGCCTCTGGGTCTTTCGGGCTTTGGCCTGGAGGGGGTGTGCCCTGGGGCCTGGACCTCTGTGCCCTTTCCTGGATCTGCTTTGGGCTCTGGTCTTCCCTATGTCTGCCTCGTGTCTTGGGGGTTGGGTCTCCGATCCTCCACAGTCACTATTAAATATTCCATTGGAGAAATCTTGTAAATACACGCATGTTCACAACTGCTCACAAACAGGTGCTCTGATCCGGGGGGTTCTGACTGGTCACTGAGTTTGTATAAATGTTTATGTGTATATACGGACAATATTTATGAATGTAGGCATGTATGTATGTATATCTTAATATATGTATGGGTATGTCTATATTTTTATATATGCCCTCCATGTATTTATCCATTTATTTTTCAGGTGAGCAGACAGATGTTGGGTGTGTGGTCCTGTGTTTTGTTGGTGTATATTTAATATACTTCTAATCGCCATTTCAGTTTTTCTATCCTTCTAATTACTTCTCTCTCTGTTTTTCTCTCTGTCTCTATTTTCTCTTCACAAAAAAAAATAATGGTGTGGAGAGGATGGCTATAAGGGGAGAAGGGAGGCCATCAAAAAATAAAAAAGAAAAAAATAAAAGAAAATACGCGTCTTTCAGGTCGATTCACGTGAAGCAATCGCCTTCCTGAACACATGTCAGCATCTTTTTGGTCGTCAACATGTGAAAAGGTCTTTTCAGTATGAACTTGTTGAAAAATGAGAGATCCAGAATCGGTCTCATAGCACCTGATTTCTTGGGAACGAGGAAATACCGGGAATATAAACCTGGTCCTCCCCACTGAGAACCTTGGAAATGACTTCCTTGTTCAGGAGTGGGGCTCTGCTTGAAGAGTGAGATCCTGCTGGGGAGGTGACAGGCGGATCTCTAGGATTCCGCTGAACCGGGGAGGCGTAGTTTCGAACTGTAGCCTGTAACCCATTTTTGTCAAGCGCTTCATCCACTTGTCCATCGAACAAATGTGTTCCCAGACCACGCTGTGCTCTGAGAGAGCTCGCGCATGCGCCGGTTGTTGAATGGTTGTCGTAGCAMCCGATACACTCAGAGCCTTCGCCGCCGTCACGCTCTCTCTTGTGACCCATGGGAGGCTGTGCTCGAAAGGTCAGAGCAGGAGCTCCGGGGAGCCCTGCATGCAGTTTGTTTAAACGAGACCTGGGAGGGGCTGCCTCCGGAACCATTCGTGAGCGCGACTCCAAGCTGGTTTCAGTGGAGCCAAACACAGCGCTCATCGCGCCGCTGTGATTGGTGGGTTCGTGCTGGAACAGGGCGGAAGTAACATGCCCCTGCTTGTGACGTGGCTCATGTTGACTGTCTTCTCTTACGTCTGCCATTCGCTGGCGRGATGAAGAGAAGGAAGTGTGTGCGTTTGCTGACCACTGGGTGGCGGAACGAACCACAGAATGTGAAATGGTGGAAGAGGAGAATGTTGTGTGACTGTTTTTGGTAAGGATCAGAGGCCGGCTAGGCACAAAACTAGCGGAAATAGCCTTAGCCAGAGTGGGGGAAACATGTAAAACAGGCAGAGACCTGAGACCTGACTGAACTGGACACTTGTGAGAGGAATTTTCCCTTTAGGGGAAGATGTATATTTTTATTCACACAAGCATCAGTATCAACATCAAAAACACACATCCCCCATCGACCCCACCAGTCATTTCTTCTGCCTCTTTTGCAGAGGTAGAGAAGGATTGGACCAAGTTCAGGCCAGCTGTCCAGTCCCACGCCGAGGAGCGCGCTGCTGCTGCTGCCGAGGCGGAGGTCGGGAATGCAGCACTGAMGCCGCTGCCGGTGCTGGAGCAGGAGACGGACGAGGTGCCGTTGCTGATGGTGCGCGCCGAGTCTGCTGCCTCTGAGCCTGGTGATCCCACCCGGAACCGGATAAAGAAGCCTGCCGATGAGTTGGTCTGGAGCGCGAYTGCTGCCAGAACTGTTCCTGTACAGACTGCGTTGTGTTGAAGTGCTCCAACAGGCGCTGGTACTATGGGCCGAAGAGACCGTCTGGGATGATGGGACCCTCCAGCATCTGTTTTCTCATCTCCGCCGAGACGGAAGGAGTGAGACGCAGCCACATCTGTCTCTGCAGCAGATTCATCCATGCCATGATTCGGGACACACACACAGCCTGAGCAGCGCAGAGATTCAAAATCATGTCGGCTGCCGCGCAGAGTTCCATCTTCTCCTCCTGCCACGCCCCGCTCTCCGCCTCTCTCTTTGAGATGTTGAAGGCCAAGAGAGCGATGTTGTTAGTTGCAGCACCAGACTGTGCTGCGCACTGATGGGACCGGTCGGTCCAGTTGACGAGCTGCTGGTCTGCTGCGTTGTGAGGGAAGAGTCACCGTCCAGCAGACCGCACCGCCTTGATGCTGAAGACAGTGGAAAGCGTGGGTTCCAGTCCTGGAACCGGTGGGAAACTGGAGTCTGTTAGCCTTCGCACTAGCCCACACACTATATTGCCTTATATGTATTAGCTCGGTGCTAGCGCGACAAACAAATCCATATTTTCAGTTAAAGGCTGAGTTATTTTTGCGTTCCCTTCTCTGTCATGTGGATGGAGGACCTCAGTGACGAGAGGAGAATGTGTAGTGCTGAGCTAATATATTTATATATATATATATGGTGATAGCATCGGGGCTAAAGCTAAAGCTAACAGGCTAAGCTGACAGGGTGAGTCATTTCTACCTTCTCCTCTCTGTCAACGCTCTCTGGTTTCATTTAAAAGAGTCGATCATCAGAAATTGTCCAAGATTAACCTTCAAGGTGGATATAGCTCGCTAGCAGCCTTGTGCCGATGACCTATTTGATGTCATCAATTTCCCAGAATGCTTTGCGTGTAAATAA